ATTCTAACATTTGGATCTTTTCCAACTTCAATTGTGATGTCATAATATTCGTCGTCATCTAATATTTCGATATAATTACGACTTAATTTGGGAAAAAATTGTGTTGACATTTATAATTTTATTAAGTTGTTTAAATTGGGAAGAAATAATTTTTTTGCTATGATGATCGAATTATGTGCTTTATAATTTTTGCTGATCGTTCAACAAAAACCCGATTTAGAATAATTTCGCCCGCCGCCACAGAACGTTTCCGAATTAGGCAGATTTTCATCACAAATAATTGTTTTTTACATTATTAATTTGAGTCCTTGTTGCACCGCAATTGTTTATTGAACAGCGCCAATGGCAATCGTGAATGATTTGTTTTACAAGTGTTCTTCCATATACCAGCACCAGCTTCTCCCATTTCTTCTAATCCATTAACTTATTTTCGAAGATTTTCATAAAATTTTTCTTTACCTCCTGTTTTCTTCATAACTTTCATCACGCTCAGACTTAAGATCTTGACGTACAGATTGGTGTACAAGCTTATCCGGTAAAGGCCTGTATTTACATCTGAAAGGATTGGTAATAATATTGTAGATTCCTCTTTTTGATAGATTTCAATTATTCTGAGACGCATTTAGTAAATTCAGTTTCCTAAGCGAACAATAAGGAAAAAATGGATTCTTTCCAATTTGTTTTTTTGAAATAATTTTATTAAACAGTAAAAATTGTTTTAACTTGACTGCTTGTACAAGTTTATTGGACATTTGAAAGATGGAAATTTTTATTCATGTTTATTAATTAATCACCTTTTAATGTAAAGTGTCTGTTCAAATTTTACGGAGTACCATCCAAAATCATGATAATTTATTGCTTGTTTTCCTAATGTATCCAAAAACGTTTGCATGAGAATGGAATCAACATTTCAAAGTCTCCATTATTTAAGAGTATTTCGATGAGGTTGAAAAATCAAGGCAAAATCAAAGGAAGTGAATTTAAGCATTTTGCATAGTGATGATACAAGAAATATTTAAAATGTTTTTAGAACAAATGTCCTTAAAAAAGGTAGTTAATTCCATAGAAAGGTATTTAGAAAACAAGGACATTTGATCAAATTCCTAGAAAGAAATGGAAGTGTTTGAAAGAATTACGCATTTAATTCATTAAATTTATCTTGTTCAAATTTGACGTCAACATATATAATCATGAAAGATGACGGGAAACGGTTAAAATACTTTTAAATTCTAACATGATATTCATTTGCAATTTTTTGTTAAATAATTTATTACAGGTGTTTAATTAAACCCTAATCTATTGTATGCAAATTTCAATTAGTATTATATTAAAAACGATAGGTACAGTATATATGATAAAAACTTATAGACTTTTTATTTAAAAATTTTGCGTAAAAATTAAATAAAACACAAATAATTGCGCTGTTCTTTGCCATTAGGTGCATACACCCTGACCAATATAGGCTCGCCAACATCGCGACCCACAGTTGTATAAGTTTCAATGTAACCCAAATCACCGATAATGAAAGTAACCAACACAAAGAGCTAAATCTCTCAACATTCTTCATGGTATTTCGTTCGTTATCTTTATCTTAGATGAAAAAGATATTATTTATTCGCCATAGATAATTTAGGGAGAGTTCCTTGATGAACGGTAGTTCATCGAAAGATGAAAATATTTTCCGCACATGTTTTTTTATAATTATATATCATCCCAAAAAGATTATTTTCAGGTACTGTATGTTATTTTTAATTCATATTGATGGTGATCATATAAAAAAAGTTGGTTGCAGGATAGTCATAAAGATCATACAAAGTATTTATTAAGTATAAAGCACATTTGAAATTTAAGTATCATTGTTGCGTCTAATAACCTCATAAAGATATTATTTTTTATATACTATTAAATCCCCTCGTTGATAATAATCTACAAAATAAATAAATATTGACCCGTCATCAGCAAGTATAGTTCAAGAATAACATTATATTTCTAAATGATTATGTCCTCAAATATAAAATTGCTTTATAATATAGTGCGGATGATAGCCAGTAATTTTATAATATCTGGACGCTGGTCCAAACAACTTTTCATCATTTGATAATAAGCCGGTAAGATTTATTGAGAATTAGAATATTCGAGTGGCACCTCTTGTAGAATTATTAAAGGTAAATCGTCGTATTTTTATGGTAAACCGTGTCCAAGTTCATTATACCTTAAATATAAATATCTGAGGGTCGAGTATGAGAAATTCCGCCTAAACTTGTGGAGAAAATCCCAAATGTATTTCACCTAATTCAAAATGCTACTATTAACGCTATCACATAAAGCAAATAAAGAAAAAGTAATTATGCCACATTTTCAATACATGTAATTTACTGAATTATTGCAATATCAATAATCATATAATCCATGATATTTATTTTTACTTACCATGAAGTTTTATAATAATCACTTTTCAAATATTCTTTTAAACTGCCATCTGATGCATATTGAATTATAGCACAATATTTTCTTGTATTCGGATCCCGAAACGCCATACAATCGAAAAATTCTACCAGTGATGTTGAAGTTTTAGCTAATAGATAAAAAAGATGTGTCAATAATAGTCACGATTATATTTTAAATTAACTATACATTTTATAAATAATTTAGAAAGATTCTGCGAATTATGTTTTGATTTTGAACAGGAATACTAAGTTTCCGTTGGGTAACAATAGTTTCATCATACCAAAATCATCTTTCCTTTCTACATCATTTAGATTCGCAATACATCAATCAATTTATGGCAATCATGTCTACCAGTCATGATAGATTTGGTTTTATAACGGAAACATCGTCTAAATTGATCACTCTTATTCGTTCTATTTTAAAACTTTTACAGAATATAAGGTAAAATAGCGCCAAAATTACCAAAAATGACATATTGTGTAATTTAATTTGAAGGAAAAGCTGAAATATTTATTTAATTATATTTTAGGAAATTTATAAAAAAAAAATGTTACAACGAACGCAACAAGTACGTACACGTATGCCATTACGCTTTCCTTATACATTTACCCTTATCACACTTACTTAGATCCTTGCCCCACTTCGTCAACTGTATTTTCTTCTATTCCCTCTTCCCTCTCCACGTGCTTCTGTGTCTACTCATCCACCTCCCATCCTGTTATTACTACAGTATAGCTTCAGTTCCTCTTCCAGATCGCGTATCCGTTGTTTTCTAGGTGGACAGAACTTGTGGATCTCTGGTCCTCCTGGCATATATGTTACCATTGACTATAGTTTTTATTCCTATCTTTTTCGTTTAAACTGCTGACCATATCTCCCTCTTCTTTGTCGTTTAGACATATTCATTAAAAACCCCCCTTGATCTTGATAAACATGACTACGATATAGCAGTGTATCGTACATATTATATATAGTCGGATATTTTGATTTTTCCTTTTTGCATTTAAAATAACCCCCTATGGTCATTTCATCCGAATTTTGTAGTTTAGAATTCTTTTTTATTTCACACCCAACGATTCAAACACACCGTGAACTGTTTATTGCATTAATGTCCACTCTGTTAATTTTTATATTTCTATCAATTCTGGTATCGACTCAATTTTGTGAAGTGCGCTTTTCCTTAATTAGAGTAAAATTATGACATTAGAAATATGAGCTAATTATTCTCTTGTAAAATGAATAGTGATAAAAATGAAGAAAATATTACCTACCAACATCTTCTTGCTACGTTAAAATGGATATAGGTAGAATGTTCTAAATGTAACTCTAAAATTCCCCTCTTTTTTGTACTATCAAATCCTTTAAAAACTTCACGTTAAATTATCATAAGATAAAAATTGTCTAAAGAATAGATAAATATTATAAAAAGGAGAAAAATGACAATTTATAAATTAAATGAAAATAAAAAAACATGAATTTTTTGTTGAATCCATTAGCTGGATTCAAAATTATAAATCATCCAAGATGTCGATTTTACATTATTAAAGAAAATTATTGTAATATGAAATTTTGTTTAAAATTGTCTGATGATAATTTTTGTTAGTTTTTACTTTAGCAATAATGATAAAAATAAATTTTATCAAAACATAGATAATACAATTATAATATGCAAATTGTAATTCATAAGCTTCATTGCTGTCTTAGCCAAGCCTGATAAAGACTTGTTTCCACCTGATCACCACGTTGAGGTGCAGCAATATTGATCAGGACCCTATAAAAGCAAAGGAAGAAAGGGATAGGTTAAACAAGTTATAATAATTAAAATCAAAGGTGATGTTCAGTAAAGTTAAAAAGTTAACATAAAAAAAAAAAAAAAAAAAAAAAAAAACCGATTCATGAAAATTTTTATAATTCTCCAAAATCAAATCTATAATTCCTTTGATTACAATATTAAGAAAGTTATCCAGTCCAGTTACAATTATAATCTCCAAAGAGTGTTGTCCAGTAAAATTAAACACGTTATTGAAGTTAACATAAAAAAAATCAAAAAAAAAACACTAAAAAAGCAAACCAATCCATGTAAACATTTTTATATAATGTTTTGTAAGATCTTCAGAAATTCCAAAATCTAATGCTTATTCCGCCATCAAAAATTCATTAAAAAATTTAACTAATCCATGTAAAATTTATATAATATACTATACTATCTATCGTAAAATCTTCAAAATTACTCCAAAATTCCATTGGTAATTCCACTATCAAGAGTGTTGTCCGGTCCAAATTAAACGCGTTAGTGAAGTTATGTTAAAAAAAAAAATATTCAAAAAAGCATTAAAAAAGCAAACCCAATCCATGCAAACTATCTTTTGTAAATTTTTCAAAAATTATTCCAAATTCCATTGCTTATTCCGTAATCAAGAGTATTGTCCAGTCAAAATACACACGTTAGTGAAGTTAACATAAAAAAAATCAAAAAAAAATCAAAATAAGCAAACCAAATCCATGTAAAATTTTTATATAATGTACTATATTATCTATTGTAAAATATCCAAAAGTCCAATGCTTATCCCGCCATCAAAAAATTCATTATAAAATTTAACCAATCCATGTAAAATTATATAATATGCTATACTATCTATCGTAAAATCTTCAAAAATTACTCCAAAATTCTATTGGTTATTCCACGATCAAGAGTGTTGTCCAGTCAAAATTAAACGCGTTAGTGAAGTTATCGTAAAAGAAAAATATTCAAAAAAGCATTAAAAAAGCAAACCCAATCCATGCAAACTATCTATTGTAAATTCTTCAAAAATTACTCCAAATTCCATTGCTTATTCCGTAATCAAGAGTGTTGTCCAGTCAAAATACACACGTTAGTGAAATTAACATAATAAAATCAAAAAAAAACACTAAAAAAAGCAAACCCAATCCATGTAATCATTTTTGTGTAATGTACTATATTATCTATTGTAAGATCTTCAGAAACTCCAAAATCCAATGCTTATTCCGCCATCAAAAAATTCAAAAATATAACCAATCCATGTAAAATTATATAATATGCTATACTATCTATCGTAAAATCTTCAAAAATTACTCCAAAATTCTAT